TATCAAACCGTATGAGGTGCATATAGACGCATCAGACTATGCAATAGGGGGTGTGTTGATGCAAGACGAATATCCAGTTACGTTTGAGAGCAAGAAGCTTAATGAGACTGAATGTAAGTACACAGTTTATGAGAAAGAGATGACTGTAGTGGTGCATTGCTTGCGCACTTGATGCCATTACCTATTGGGGTCTAGGTTCATGGTTAAGATGGACAATGTAACGACCAGCTACTTTCAAACGTAGAAGTAACTATGCCCTAAACAGGCGAGATGGCAAGATTTTCTTGTAGAATTTGATTTCCAGATGGAGTACAAGCCAGGACGGGCGAACCTGGTGGTAGACGCCCTGAGCAGAAAGGCTAACCTTGTTGCCATTAGCCAACCATAAGGGTTTTTGGTACCAAACATCAAGGAAAGGCTTGCGCACAGTCCTACAGCCAAGGCTCTCATGGAGTACGCCCAGTAAGGTAAGACTAGGCGATTTTGGTTGTAGGATGGTTTATTGTATACTAAGGGCAATAGACTATTTGTGCTACAGCATGAGAAGCTCCACAGGGAAGTTATGCACGAGTGCCATGATTCAAGGTAGGTTGGACATCCAGGGGTAAGCCACGCATTAGCTTTGCTAGAGGATTGGTACTATTGGTCGCACATGAGGAGCGATGTGGAGGTCTATGTGAAGACTTGTCTTATGTGCAACAGGACAAGGTTGAGCTCAAGAAATCAAATGGTCTTTTGGAGCCATTGCCAGTGCCAGAGCAACCATGAGAGAGTGTTTCTCTAGACTTTATAGTTGGTCTACCCAAGGCAGAAGGGTTCGATAGCATCATGGTAGTGGTGGACAGGTTTTTCAAGTATGGAATCTTCATTCCAGCAACCAAGAAGTGCCCTACCGATGAGGCAGCTTGATTGTTCCTGAAGAACGTAGTTAAGTACTAGGGAGTGTCGAAGACCATCGTTAGTGATCGGGATAGGCATTTCACAAGCAAGTTATAGATTGAGTTGTTCAAGCTGTTAGGGTCAGACTTAAACCTTTTCACCAGCATGCATCCGTAGATCAATGGGCAAACTGAACGTGTGAATAAGCTATTAGAGGTCTACCTCAGGCATTATGTAAGTGCCACGCAAAGGGATTGGCCAAAGCTATTAGATGTGACCTAATTTTCTTACAACTTACGAAGGAGCAAGGTAATGAACCAAAGTCTGATTGTGGTAGTAACAGGTTAGCAACTGCTAACACCCGGTTCGATTGTTGTAGGTTATACAAGGTCGAATCCAATAGCATACAAGTTTGCCAAGGCTTGGCAAGAGCAAGTCGACTTGGCCAGAGTCTATCTCCACAAGGTGACAAAGAGGTCGAAAAATTGGGAAGACCATAATAGGCGGGACGTATAGTTTCAGTAGGAGACTTGATGTTGGTGAAGTTGTATCCCATTGTGTGCCATAAGGGGCTGCACAAAGGCCTAGTCCAGGGGTACGAAGGATTTTTTCAAGTAGTCAAAAGGGTAGGCAAGGTTGCCTACAAGCTAGATATGCCACCTAAGCTAAGGGTACACCCGGTGTTCCATGTTAGCATGTTCAAGCCGTTCTATGAGGATGAGAGAGATCCAGGACAGGCAGAGTCAAAGAGTGTGCCATTGGGAGCAAGGGCCTCATATGAGAAGGAGGTTTACAGCATCATAGCTGATTAAAAAGTGAGACGAAAGAATTACCAACCAAGACAAGAGTGCTTGGTGTGCTGGAAGAGACTTTCAGATAGTGAGGCAAGTTAGGAACTAGCAGAAGACTTATGACAGTTTCAGGACCAGATCAAACAATACCATACAGAGGATGCAACGAGGGCATTATACAATCAGGTGGGAGAAAATGTCACATCTTAAGTGGGCACACCAGGCACATTAGGCTCACCAACACGGCCACCTAAGGTTGAGGCCTACACACCGGGAGCACTAGCGGGGGTTTGCGTGCAATGCCTTAAAAGAAGGCCAAACTGCCCGCACAACCTACAAGCCAGCCCATACGGCCAAGGCTTGGCCCGCATGATGCTCACACCACATCTAGAAAGGCCCAAAAGGGGAGATGCACAAGGAGATCTTCTAGAAGCTCACATGATCAGTAGGAGCCTTCTAGCAAATTTGGTTGACCCTAAAATTTAAGAAGCAAGATCCTGATTGAATGTAATCTATGTAATCCTTGATTGATTATAATTCTTTGATTCTAAGGATTTAGCCATAAGTGTAACTAGAGCCTCAACTATAAATAGAGGGCTACTCTACCCTCATTTGTACAATATCATACACTTTTGTTTCAGTAATACAAGAGCATATTCCAACAAATTTTCTTGTTTTTCTGTTTCTCTCAAACTTACGCATTCTACCCTTCTTATTGTTCTAGTGCCCACACGCTTGTGTTTTAAGTTGACTTAGGCTAGAAGGAGGTAATTTCAAGTCTAAGGCCAACAGATTCTGAGTCTAAGATCGGAGCCCATGACAGTTTATGGAGACACATACCTAACCTGCTAGGTTTTGTCTGCTTTGACTCGAAGGTCTCATGATTTTGTCTTATAAAATGTGCCTCTCAATTTTGATATTAAGTTTTTACATATATATCATTCCTTATCCACACATCCTTTTGATGTGGGATTGGGGGCATTACAATCTCTCTACCTTTAATGCTTGATGTCCCTGTCAAGCCAAGTCTATTTACAGGATCAAGATCACACCAGACCACCATGTAGTACTTAATGACTCCCACGACCTCATTGTGTAGCACTTAATGACTCTCATAGTTACTGACCGATGACCACTCTGATATCATTTGTGAAGACTCGCACCCAACCTACGAGGTATTGTCCAATTTGACTCAAAGTTCTCATAGTTTTGTCCCACAAAAGGTGCTTCTCAAGTTTAGGATTAAGTCTCTACATATATATCATTTCTTATCACACATCCTTTAAATATGGGATTAGGGGTGTTACAATCCTTGTGAGACACTTTTTGTAGGATAAAATCGTGAGGTCAAGGGGGTTAGAGCAGACAATACCTCACAAGGATGTGAACCATAGTAAGTAGGTTAATCTGAGACGTCGGATGAGTACATGCTCGGGTCTTGGAGTTACTCGGGTTGAAGCTCAAGTCTCGACCGTTGACAAGTGGTATCAGAGCCAGCCCTAAATCATTCGATCCACACCAAGCACCTCGAGGGAGTTAGACAGGTGGCCAGTCTCCATGACAAAGGTGTCATGAGGTTGGGTGGAAGAGAATGTCACGGACCTAAGGAGGAGTCATGGATCCCACATTAGACATAAAAAGAAGGCACTAGGGTATAAAAGGGTTCACACCATCTCTTCCTTATTAGGCACCTTTTATAGGATAAAACCGTGAGGTTAGGGGGCTAGAGTGGACAATACCTTACAATGGTGTGAGCTGTGGCAAGTAAGCTGATTTGGGACGTTGGATGAGTGGATGCCCGAGTCCTGGAGTCGCGTAGGTTGGAGCTTAAGTCTCGACCCGTGATAAGAACCAGGACCAAGGCATTCACTCATTCGGTGTCTAGATCAGCCTACTTACCATGGTTTACACCTTTATGAGGTATTGTCCGCTTTGGCCTCCCTGATCTCACGATTTTATCCTATAAAAAGTCTCTCACAAGGAAGAGGTGGTGTGAACCTTTTTATACTATAGTGACCATTCTTTTATGTCTAATGTGGGATTCAGGACTCTTCCTTAGGTCCGTGATATTCTCTCCCACTCAATCTAGTGAGACCCTCATCACGGAGGCTGGCCATCCTATCTACCTCCCTCAAGGCACTTGGTGTTGATCGAACAGTTTAGGGCTAGCTCCGGTACCACTTGTCACGTGCTGAGACTTAAGCTCTAAGCTCGTGCGGCTCCATGACCCTGGATGCACTTATCTGGCATCCCAGATTAGCCTACCTGTCACGGTTCATACCCTTGTAAGGTATTGTCCGCTCTGACCCCCTGATCTCACGATTTTATCTTATAAAAGACACCTCATAAGGAAGAGGTGATGTGAACCCTTTTATAACTCAGTGACTCTCATTTTTTGTCCGATGTGAGATTTAAGACTCCTCCTTATGTCAACTTCTAGATATTTTATTTTAAGTAAACAAGGATTAAGATAATAATTTTGTATTTATTAATTAAAATGATAATAAAAAATAAATATATATTTTTTACCATAAACAAAAATATATGTTAAGTTATAAAATAGAATATAAATATTTTAAGAAATGCGTAGAAATTAAATTTTTAAATATATTTGTTTTATGTAATTTATATATATATTTAATTTTCATAATTAATAAAATATAATTATATTAATATTAATACATTTATTACAATATACAAAAAATAAAAATTATTTAAATAAATAATTACTTATTATGATTTAATTTAAAATTTTATTTTAAAATTAATTCAATAAAAAATTTATAAATACTTCAAAAATCCCTTGGTAGAGTGAGGGCAACAACCTAGTAATAATAATAATAATAATCTTATTATTATTATTATTATTATTATTATTATTATTATTATTATCATTATAAAATTTTAATAATATAATAATAATAATATAATTATTATATAAGTAAAATATTCTGAAAAAGTAACAATAGGTTTTAATCATTCAATAAATATTAAATTAATTTTCAATTGATTTTCTTTTGTATATTGTTTTTACTTATTTAATGAGAATTATAAATTCGTAAATTATTAGAGTTAGTAAAAAATTTCAAAACTTCGTCTAAAAGCACTTGCAATTTATTCTTTTATAGTATACACTTTGTTTCTCTAGGTTCGAAACATATACTTGCATAAAAAAAAAAATAGAAATATATACCTTAAAAAAAAAGGGTGCGGTATGAGTAACCAAGTAACAAAATCTCATATTCTAATTGGTCTAACACATACCACCTTATCCATTGCCAATATTTCCACACCACCTATTTCCTATGGCCATATTCTGGTCATCTCCACAAAACCAAACTTCATTAGCCAAAAATATCACTAGCCATCCCCAATATTCCCAATCTCCGAATTCTCAATGGCAATGGCAACACAAGCATCCCTCTTCACTCCAGCCACCCTCTCTGCCACAAAATCCAGCGACCGAGTCGCGGTAACATGGAGACAATCATCATTTGTAACACTCCCTAGCTTCAAGTCAAAAACATTTGCTGCACCACGTACCATTAAGGCAGAAGCAACCGAAGAGAAAGCTGAGACTGCCACAAAGGAGGCTCCAGTTGGGTTCACCCCACCAGAGCTTGACCCAAGTACCCCATCACCAATATTTGGCGGCAGCACTGGTGGGCTGTTACGCAAGGCACAAGTAGAAGAGTTTTATGTGATTACATGGGAGTCACCAAAGGAACAAATATTTGAAATGCCAACAGGTGGTGCTGCCATCATGAGGCAAGGTCCAAACCTGCTTAAATTGGCTAGGAAAGAGCAGTGCTTGGCTCTGGGAACTAAGCTTAGGTCCAAGTACAAGATTAAGTACCAGTTTTACAGGGTGTTCCCCAATGGGGAAGTTCAGTATTTGCATCCCAAGGATGGAGTGTACCCTGAGAAAGTGAACCCTGGTCGCCAAGGTGTGGGACAGAACTTCAGGAACATTGGAAAGAATGTTAACCCAATTGAGGTCAAGTTCACTGGCAAGCAAGTCTATGATCTGTAAGGTGAAAAGCTGAATTGTTATGATGTATTATTTGTGATCATGTTCAAATCTATTTAATGTTTGCTGTAATTTTAATACTCTATTCAAACATCAAATAGCAAGGGTTCGTAATATTTTTTTAATGCTTTTAGCATTTAATGGATGCAAAATATATAGAATTTCACACACCATAATCATAAATTCTTCCCTTTCTACTGTTGCTCTAGGCTAGAGGGAGGTTCCAGTTCTTCAAGATAATATAGAAATTAATTTCCATGAAGCATAGATAGAAAGGGATTTCATAATAATTTCTAGTTGTGCTACAAGTTTGTTTTGGTAGTTTAATTCCCTTTGACGAACAGATTTTCTAATTATAATTTAAAAAATCAAATAAATTTTAGAAAATCTAGTATGCTATGAGATTATTGCCAAACTTTAAATGATCCGTATGTGATAAACCTTTAATTTCAGATAATTGAAAATGAAAAATTTCAATGTGTTTGAGAACTTATTTAAAAACTTATTTTAAAAAATAATTTAAATAGAAAATTTTCATTGAAAAAGAGTTCAAAATATTAAGTAGTTATAAGTTAGTTAATATATTCAATCATTTTTATCTAAGGCAAATTTTTTCATTTAATTATATCAACCTTATAGTATTCTTTCTTTTTTAACTATTTATTTTTCTTTTTTAACTTTTGTTAATGTAAATACTTAACAAGAAAATCAACAAAACATTTATTCAATATTTAAAATTTAGTGGAATAATAGCAAACGATTTTTATAATAACAATTCAATATTTAATTCTTTGATAATTAATATTTTAGTCCTTATTTTTTAGTGTTGATTTTTTTCTGGGTCATCAAATAACATTAAATTGATTTTTTTAGTGTTTATTAAAATTGATTTTTTTTTTTGGTCGCAATCTCTAATCATGGGATTCAAACACTACAATTGATAAAAAAAAAAAATGGTAAGCCCAAGCAGACATGAAGCCATAAATTTCATGTTGGGGAAGTCCGGGTAAATGCAAGTTGAAATGATAAAAAAGTGTATAATAAAATAAAATAATAATGTAATCAACACCAATATCATCACTATTGTATATAAAAACGTGAATGTCAAAAGCTAATACCATATGGTTGTTCCGATACCGACCAAAGAATTGGTTGTTCTTACAAAAGATTACCATAAGTACTTTATAAATCAAGCATAAAATTAAAGTATTATATCATGCATAAGTACATAGATCACTTATCTTCTTGAAATAGACATCATGCATGTGATCTGATTTTTAAAAATTTAATTATAAGATAATTTATTATTTTAATAATTTTATTTTTAATTAATAATTTTCTTATTAAATTAATATATTGATTGTTTTTATTTATTTATCAATTTTTTGAAATCTTTAATTGTTAAAGTAAAATTTCCTTGATTGATAATTTTTATTAAATTAAATATTGATGAAGTTTTATATTTATTTCCATATTAACCTTGAATGTTATATTAAAGTAAATTATTTTTCCTCACAAAAGGTCTAAATTGTTTTTAATAAAATTTAAATTGAATTATATAAAAAATTAGAAATTTTATTCGATTATGAAATCTGCATAGCTGATGAGAGTTCCATTGAATTATTATATATAAATATATATACACATAAGTGTGTGTTTTTATTAAATAATAATACTTTTTTATTGAAACATTCCTTTCAATAATGATTATAGTGAACATATGATAACTAGTAATATTTTTGTTATTATTATTTTTTTTGAAAAACAAAGGTTTTTTTTTGGTTAATAAAAAAGAGAGGTACCAATTAGAAGAAAAATAAATTTTTTTGCGACGGAAATTTTTATTTGTAAAAACTATAAATTTGTCGATAATAATTTTATCAACGAAATTTACTAAAAAATTTTTTTTTTGTTGATGTTAAGCTAATAGGTAATTATGTTTCATAGGTAGCTTAAAAAATTCGTCCGTATTTCTTAAATTTTATTGGTAAAAAAATTTTAAAACTAATAATTAATACGTAAATCCTATCGTTTATGCATCAATGCTTTGTCGGTAAATAAAATATTTTTGGATAATTATGAAAATTTGTCATTTATTTTTGTCTGATCAAAGGTTGCATCATACAATCACAAGAATAATAATGTTAAAATTTATTTGATAATAATTCTTTTTTCAAAAGAAAAAGTACATCAATTTATACATATAGATTCTAGCATCCATAGTTCACTAACGAATTTAATAACTTGAAAATAAGTTAAAAGTTGAAACAACACCTAATAGCATTAAGAAAACCAAAACCAAGATGCAAGACTCAAAATCTGTCAAACATCGTTCCCATCATTAGGGTCTTAATAGCATTAGGACTCAAAAGATGCAAGACTCCATCGTTCTCAAACTTCAAGTGTCTAGGATCAATTTCCCAAACATCAGTCTCGTCATTAGGAATTGCCACATAATTCCGGTCTTCATTAGTCCTCATTTCATCATAGTCCCTTGTAGGGAAAAAAGAATGTTGCTTCAACCTAGATTGCTTCCTACACATATAAAAAGAAAAAAAAAACCCATTGAAAGTAAAGTCTAATTTGAGACGCTTATAAAATAAGCACAAACTTTTAGTTAACAAATTCTAACTCTCACATCAAAATTTTCATTTCTCTATAAACGTTAAACATTTCAGCAAACACTTATCAGTGGAATATCAGAATGAAGAGAGCATGGAACACACCCAAAGAGTTTATGCATTTCGGAAGACACATGCTAACCAATCAGGACTTGAAGCCCATTAATCTAAACCTTGGAAAACGGATGGGGTAAGGGCGAAGCAGGGAAAAAGCTCAATAAGGGTTTAGTTTCATACTACTAGGATTTTAGTATGAATTACTTTCTGTCACTAAGCCTGCCCATTATTAAACTAGATAAAATTTTGTTTAGCACTATCTTCACATATTAGTTGACCATTTACCACACAAATCTCAAGTGAAGAACAATGCAAGGGTCTAATGATGCATGGAAAAGATCAATGTATCATGATATTATAAAATACTTTGAAACATTTCAAGTAGCCAAAAAAGCATCTTTAAGCATTTCTGTTTGCTGAGAATTTCAAAAAGCAAGTCTGTCAAACAAGTTCTAAAAAATTTATAATTTTCCATTAAGTCAATGCTTAAAGCATTTAAATGCAACAATCAACACTCATCAAATCCTCTAAACGGAATTTAACTCTTAAGAAAACAAAAATAATTACCATCTCAACTAACAAATGCCAGCACATGCCAGCACAAATGTGCAAAAATACATCAAAACTTAAGTCAACGAAAGATAGCAGGTCATGAAGCACAGCTCTTAGGTAAGAAAAGTTGAACTTTTGCAATTGATGTGACGAGCCTGTCTTTCCACATCTTGAAACTCAACCCTGATGCCGCAAAGAATACTGTTTTGAAATTTAACTTTCAATTCGGATATAGCTTGGAAACATCTCAAAGTTCTCTTAACATTTTGCAACTGCTTCAGTACTAATTTGTAAAAAAAAATTGTATAATCTGCAAATTGAAGGTGAGAAATCTAGAGGTCGTTGACTCCAACACCAATACCATTGAATATCCCCTCTCGACAGCTTTGTTAGTTGTGAGTGATACGGATTTCACCCCTAGCACTCATCTTAGTATTGAGATCCAAGGTTTGATTAGGAGATATAAATCGATTTATTAATATCTCAAAAATAGATGTCAATTTGAAGATAACAGTATCGTTTTTACTGAAAAACTTAGTTAAGAGATAGTAAATAAGATATTAGAAGAATCAAAACTCTAAACGCTATATGAGATAAATCCATTCTCTACTTATTCACTTCAAATCAACACCCCAACTAGTTTATAGGTTAAAGAGCATGCCTCACCTTTTTATCCTTGATAACAAGCAATGCATATGAACAATTTATATGTCATGTGTTGTCATGCATGCATATAGAATGATATGCCCATTTTTAATACCAAATTGTCTAGTAGTTCCATTAACTAACAAAGAAAGGTAGGTTGAGGAACAAGTGCCTTTATCCACTGTCACCACCTTTGATCGAACCTCATTTTTTCCATCAATAAGTTAAGAAAATTCCAATCAACGATGTCGTGCTTTTTCAAAGTCAACTTTTAACAAGTGTTAGCGTTGAATTCATCTAAGGTTTTGATATAACAAAAAATTAAGTAAAATTTATGATTTTCAAACTAATTCATTTAGTAATTTTCTTTGACATTATTTTTTAATTTGTTCTTGAAAAATACTAAATATTATTAGATCTCAATTTTCTCAACAATTCATACTCTTAAATGAATATTATTAATAAAAATATGTTTGAAAAAAATTAACCCTTTTTCTTGTAAAAAAATGTCAAAATATGCAAATTTGGAAAAAAAAAGGATTGATCTCCTCATGAATAGGATTGATCCCCTATTTCCAAATCGCTCTAACATTGTTTTCCAAGAATGAGGATTGATCCTAGGATCGATCCCTCAAGTTTAAAAGCTCCTCCCAATTTTTCAAGCTAGAGGATTGATCCTAGGATCGATCCCCTCATTTCCAACAATTATATTTTTTAATCTGAAAGTATAAGGATTGATCCCTTTGCATATAAAGTTCGAATAAAGAAAAAATTTGAAGGAAATAAAGGATCTTTCTTAATTTCATTGACTCACAATGACTAGAGATGATATTCCACTATAAAATGAAGCCTCCAATACATTCTAAACAAAAAGGATGAATAACCAAAAGCTTTAAATCAAGAAATCAAGAGCTTTAGAGTCAATAATGCTTCAATTTCATATTCTTTTTGTAATCCTTGTATCCAATCTTCATTTTTCTCTTGATCTTTGTATTTAACCTTAGCAAATACTTGCTTATTAGAGGTTTTTACTAGTTTGTAAAAGCCTTTGTATTCAAAGGGGATTAGTGAGTAAAAGTTATGGTATCTTTTTAGAGTTTTGTAGTGAGATTGGGTGGAATCCTAAAAATGGATAGAGGTTGCTATCTTGACTTTGATAAGATAGAGATTGTAATTTGTATAAGAACATTTTCATTAGTGGATTTAAAGCTTGGTTAGGAAAGTTAAAGAAGAGGACTTAAGTGCTTTTTGAGAAAGGCTAAACCTCTATAAGTTTTAAAGTTTGATCTCTCTACTCTTACTCCTTTATTTTCATTGTTGTTAATTTATGCTTTAATTTCATAATT